ATATATATATGGTATATATAGTAGATATATAATGTAGATATATGTATTATAGACTTTTAAGTTTTTCTGCAGTACGTTTATGGGTGACGGCAATAGATAGAGCGCATGCAAGGGCAGAAAGTACAAATACACGATCAAAGTGTAGATGGAATACACGGAAATCAAGAGAAGGTGCAAGAACTTGAGAAAGTGCATCTCTATAAGCTTGAGGTAAATACATTCTTGTTAATAATAAGCATGCAGAGAAATATATACCCATAACCTCTGACATAACAAGAGCAAATACATCACTAGATACAGCAGTAGACATATAACGAAATACTGCTAATAATTTCTCTAAGAATCCTCTTATAGTAAGTGCAACTATCCATCCTAATAATAATAAAGATAAATAAGGACTAAGTAATGTTACATTAATAGGTACATGTAATAAATGGAGAAGTAACTCTAATGTTCTTGTTGCTGGATCTGTTGTTATACTTACACGATCTAATAATACATTTATAGCACTAACTAATACTCTATATATACAAACAAAAGTCATTAACCAACCTAATAAATTATTTAATCTACCTAACCATGTTTGTCCATACACTGCCTGTGCACGTGAATGTACTAAGTCATCCAATCCTACAAATAATTCACGAGATAATTCCTCTAGTGCTTCTATCTCGCTCTGTAATTGTTGGCATTGTTGCTCAATTCTTCTACCTGTTATAAATCCACGAATTATACGTAATGTATATAATATACGATCTAATATACGTAATAAAAAAAACTTCTTCTTTCCTTCTTCTCCTCCTCCTATAATACCTCCTCTTTGTTGCTGCTGTTGATGTTGCTGCTGTTGTTGTTGTTGTTGTTGTTGTTGCTGTTGCTGCTGTAAATCATAATCCCTACCAATGCTGCAACTGCTGCTGCAACTGCTGCTGCTGCTGCTGCTGCTGGTTGTGAATCCACTTAGGACAGATGCATCATCTCCTCCCGTCTCTGATGTATCACCAAGACGGGGCCCATCAGCTCCCATGGGGCCCCCTTGTCCTTGTCTTTTCCTGGATGTACTTCTTCCTCTACGTGAAGCTGCAGAGGGGCCCCCATGTCCAGTAGCAGAAGAGAGGACACCAGATGTAGGTGTTGGCCATAGACGAGCACGGGCAGGATTAAGAGATGCCTGTAGATGTAGTCTTGCTTTTTTTTTCTCGCTAACTAGATTAAGTGTATGTAGTAGCCGTTGCTCAACGCATGCAACTTCTGCTTGTGTTGTTGGGTATAAGAATGCAGCAACATTTCTATAAGGATAATTAACACTACCAAATCCAGCCAATGCAGATACAACTGTTACCCCACATACACCAACATATGCCAATAAACGTTCTGTATAAGATAGGCCAGCAAGTGCCTCAGGGTCTAGATGTAATAATCTTCCTGATTGACGGAAACAGAACCATAATAAGGGTAGCAGCACGGCACTGCATGCAGCTACAGATGCCCATTCCCTACAACGTGGAGATAAACGTTGTAATCTTGATAGAACTCCTTGACCACCAGAAGAAGTTAAGTTAGATACTGTTGCTAATCTAGATAATGCAGATGCACGCGTCTGTAGACGCTGTAGCTGAGGGAATTTAGCTACCCAATCAGCAACACGGAAACAATCTGCACTAGGGGCAACAATATTATGTATAATTGATACAGGTAATACTACATATAATAATAATAATACACATATTAAGTCTAAATTCCATACAAAACGACGAACATGAGGATTCAATATATGCAATAACTCCAATAAGAGGAGTTGTAGCATCGATACGCATGCAGTAAATGTTGCACAAAATAAATGTTGTACAGACCTCCTCTGTACCTCATAGTCTCTATATAAATGTGTTGCAAAGAAATAATATGCTCCTATAAATAAACTTGCATGGAATAAGAATACTATAGATACACCAACTACTACTCCTGCAGTCGTCTGGCTTAGCTGAGATGCAGCAGACAACGGAGGAAGGTTCATCGCATCCCTCTTAAATCCTTATTTATTATCCTCTTTCTCTTCTTTTTATTACTTTTTATATACTTCTTGTCAATTCTATACTCATCTCTTTTAATATTATTCCCCAATTTATCCAAAGAAAAGAAAAAAAACGCTGCACAGCTCCTCCAACAGGAGCGCAAGCAGCAGCAGTATAGTAAGTAGTAGTATAAACAAGTCCGAGGAACTTGTAGAAAGCAGAAGCTATTGTAAAAAGACAAACTCATACAATAATAAAAGAAACAGAACAGAAAAATAAGAAGAAAAAGCTACAAATTAAACAAACAAGTCAGGCAGGCGTCACCATTTATATTTTTTTTCTTTTTTTTTCTTGAATGAGGGCGGCAGAGCGGTTGTCTAGATACGTATAAGAAAAGAGAGAGAGAGAGAAAAAGAGAGGAAAAAACAGAGAGAAATGTTCAAGTTTTGAATAAATAAAAAGAAATATAATATATATTATTATAATTATAATTTATTTAAAGAGAATCAATCATGCAACATGCTTCTTTATTATGCAGCAACACATCCTCCGTTATATAAATATTGCCACTGTGCATGCAGCAGCTACACAGCATAAACACTGCAAGCCCTCCTCTCCTACAAAAAAAAAAAAAAGGTATTATTTCTTTTTATTATAAATAAATATATTCTTATTTAAAATAAAAAAATAATTTAATTTATAAATATATAAATAAAAAGAGGCGTAAAATATTTCCTATGAATGTCTGGCGCCATCGCTGACGACGTACGTCGTGATTTCTTTGCTTTTCTTATTGTATATATATTTACGTCTTGTTCATTTTATTGCTATTTATTCTCTTTTTCTTCAACTTCTTATTATTATTCTCCTTCTTCTTCTTCTTCTTTTAATTGTTCTTCTTTTTATTCTTCTTCTTTTCCTATTTAATGTGTTATTTTCTACTCTTATTATTCCTGCATGCATCTTTGATAACTGTTGCCTCTTCTGTCTTCTCTTGTTTCTCTCTTTTTTTTTTTGTGCTTTTTGCATGCAAATTAAGTAAAGTAAATAAATTCCTGTTAAATAGGTAATTAAATATATTAATACAACTCTTATTTTCTATGTTAATAAGAAGAAAAGCGGAAAAAATATTGATTTCCTTCCTTGTTACCGTGCGCAGAATTAGCACGATTGCTGCTCGATGTCTTCTTCCTGCATAAATAAATAATTTATTCAATAAAAAATACTTTTTATTAATTAAATATATTTATTTTGTGTATATTTCCCTTTATTACACGTACAGCTTATTGTCTTCGTTATATTGGTGTACTTAATATATATAAATACTCCTAGGGTTTAGGGTTTAGGGTTTAGGGTTTAGGGTTTAATGCCCATATAACATAGAAAAAGAAAACCCTAATTCTTTTATGAATATTATTCCTATATACTATATTATTATTATACAGCAAATATAAATAAATATAATATTATTAATATAATATATAGAGTATAATATTAATATATAATTATACAGTAAATAATAAATAAATATTTTTATTTATCTGTTTATCTACTTATATATATATATA